GATCATGTTTCAGCTTCTCTTTTGGCAAGGACAGCAAAGGCTGTAGCCAAGTACAAGCATAGAGCTGAACTGAGCAAATATTTTTTTTTCCCTAGCCACACTGGCTGGGACACAATAGGTTCTCTCTTTCCTGTTGAAAACTACCACACACTCGCACAGTCTTTACTACCCCTTGCCACAGGCAGAACCCTTTGCTGGTCCTCAAAAGAGATCTGGGGTGGGCTTCTGATCCTGCATCTTGGGCTTTGTAGCCAGGAGAACCCAGCTTTCCTTTGTGCCAACTGCCCACTTCTTTTTCTTCCGGACTATTGCCAACTCTTGTGATATTATGGCAAGTCTTATGATAGTTGATGTTTTTCATAAAGTCCCAGGGCCTGGATTCAGGCAATTACAAAACAATCTCAGATTTCATCGGGGGGGGGGGGGGGGCTCTTCCAGAAAGCGTTTTTGAGGGGGGGGGGGGGAGGTCTCTTTCAGTAAGTTTCTAGTCCTCACAGCTGTGGACCAAAGCCAAAATATGGTGGCCCCCCCCAAGGCTCAGAAACCACAAAGCAAATATTAAAAGAATTCTGTGTTTCTCATTTTGCAAAGTATTAAGATTTTTAGGCCAGTCCCATGATTTGGAGGGGGGTGGGGGGAGCGTTGACTCATGATTTTTGAATGCTTGGGGCTGACAGTGCTGCCTTAAGTCTTGGCTGTTTCTCTCCAAAAAGGGAGGAACAGAGGAACAAGCTGCAGCTTATCTCGTGTCCGGCAGGTGGCAGGCCTCGCCAGCCCACTGGCTTGCAGAAGTTAGAAAGGCATTTGACTGACATCTCTGAGGTCTCCAGAGAGCAGCTTCTGGCCTGGAAGCTGGAGTCAAGGCCTCAGCATCAGGGGAATAGAGACAAAGAGCCTGACATAAGATCAGAGTGAGGGCACGGAGGCCAATAGCTCCTGGCCAGCTCCAGCTGCGTGATAAGGTCAAGTGGAGATGTGGGTTTGGACAATAGGGTCAATGACAGCAGTCTCCTCACTTTGGCAGAAGGCCCACTGTTCAAAGGAATCTCCGTGGATGCCTCTGTGGCCAGAGGGTATGTGCGCACATGGGGCCAGAACAGAGACCTGCGAAAGGGCTTCCTTCCCACTCACCTCCAGCTTAAGGTAAGTCCCAATACTGATACTGCATCAGCTGTACCACAACTACACAGGAAAGAAGGCAGCACTCTTCCAAATGCTGTTTACCACTGCTTTTGTGTGGGGATGCATCTTCCCTGCTAGCTTCACAGGAAACAAATTCCCAGAGTGGAGAGGCTGCCAGCACTGAATAGTAGGACCTCATGCTCTCCAGATTTTCAGCTAAGGGAGCCAGAGGCCTGTTTTGGGGCTTAGAGAAGAGACTCACTGAGTCTGAGAGCAGTGTCAATGCAACTAGAAAAGAGCTCCCTTACTCTCAGGTGCGGGGAGCAGCAAGACTGTCATTGGTGCTAACCAAGAAGAGAGCTCCCACAGGCTGGAGAGACAGCTGTGCTGCAATGGTGCCAGATAGAGGGAGCTGCTTTAGGCCAGGTGGCAATTGGGATCTGTGCTCAGGTCAGATGAGGAGTGAGAGGTTCCCAAGTCTGCCCTGTCACATTGTCCATTCAGCTCTTTCTCCAGGGGAAATCCAAAGCTGGCATTGTACGTGTCTTGCCTCCTATTCCTCCCTTGGACTGTATCACTGAACGGCATGCTCCACTTAAGAGGACGGGGGAAGGGAGTCATGCCTGCAGGGGCCCTCCCACATGGGAGCTGCCTTGGAGATCCCAGGCAGAGTGGAGGGGTCTGAATGGCAGTCTAAGTCCAGAAAAAGGCTCAGAACAAATGGGGAGAGGCAGGAAGGGAGCATGGAGAGCTCCCCCCTCCCTCTCAGCCCACGGCCCCTGCCAGGCTGTCCCAACACAAACATTCCAAGCCTGCTCACTAACCAAACCCAGCTGACTTACAGCTGCCACTGGAGGGAAACCAGGACCTGCTGAGCAGCCCAAGAGCTGCCAAAAATTGGGGGAGGGCTGCCTTGCCTTCCCAAAGCTCTCCTGTCCTCTCTTCCCAGCAGCCCCACTCCAGCCAGGACTTGGGTCAGGGTCTCTCACCTGTTTGCATTTTCTAAGGTCTCTACTTTTTTCCAGAGTTCATTGTTCTCCGATGTGTAAGTCTCAACCCTGCAAAGATAAAATCCCAAGCCAGATAGTTATGAGTGGCAGACCAAATGGGCAAAAACTGCACCTCCTCCACTGCTGCCTGGACCCTGAACAGCCTATGGCCCACATGTCCCCTGAAGCTGTGCTCTCAATTCAGAACAGCTTGGCTACATTTGATCCTAAGAGCTGGGGGCAGGAGTCAGAACAAAAACTGAATTCATGTTATTTAGAAAATGTCCAGTAATTCCCCTTCCCCCCCTGGGGGCTTCTTTCTGGCTCTAAAATAAGTAGAAGGCAGGGTAGATTTGCACTTTACAGACTGACCAAAGTAGCCAATAGACCCAAGGTACGTCTATATAAACAGCCTGTGGTACAGTGTGGAGATACTCAAGCTAGGTGCAAACAAACTAGCTCAGGTACCAGAGCACTTAAGCTGTGGTGGCAAGAAGCTGCATGCAGGCTAGTGTACCCTCATCTCATCTCATTTACAGCTAGCTCACATATCTCTATAGTACACTGCAATCTGCAGTGCAAACACCCACAATCAGAGGAAGAGACCCTTCCTGAAAGTGCCCAAGTCATCAATGCTCTAATAACCTATAGGACATTTTGGAACAAACACAATGACACAAAAGCATCTCTTACATCATCAGCAACTTCTGCCCCCAGTACTTGTGAAACAAGACCAGAGGACCTTCTGCGAGAAGAGCTCTGGCCTCTTGACCATGTGAATTGAAGAAGCGTCTGCCATAGTTGCTAGCAGTATTCAGGAGAACCACAAGCTTGTATGTTTGAGCAGCTTGGATCCTAGTCCTTAGATGGCAATGGAGAGTCTGCATGGCCTCTTTTTTCCTTCAATTTCTTTATTTTTATTGTAACATTGGGAAAGCATTCAGCAAAGGTACAGGACATAGGGGAAGGAAAATTACTCCAGAAAGAACAATGGTCATGGACAAGACCCTGATAATACAGGCTTTCCAACACATGCAACTATGCAAAATGATTTTACCCAGTCTATGAACAATCTATGTAGTGAATAAATTGTGCTTTTAATGGAACACCTCCTGGTTGAATGTTTTAGGTTCAGAGCATGGACTTTGTGCAAGCTGCCAGTGACGGAAACTAATGTCAATAAAATGTTTCAGTTACTATTTTTAATTACAGTGAATACCAGTTTTAGTTGTCATTTAAACCCCACATACCTTGCAACCTAAATATCACAGCAAGAGCTGCTAGTTATGTCAGCACCAATTCACACACAGACACCAAGACTGAGAAAGGAGAATGAACTTGACCGGCCAGGACAGAAAGACCCTTTCACCAATGTAAATAAAGAGAGCAACCACCTTGCTGGAGGTGACAGAGTCTTCTCCACGTGGGTTGCCAACCGCCAGAGGGCAATATGATCACACACCCTTAGTTGATATATTATATAAGCACATGAAAGCTTTAAGGTGAAACCCACTCATCTGTTTTCATGGTGCATTTCTCCCCACTTAGACAAAACAAGCAAATAGCAATACAGGGTGAAAAGTTAATTAGGTTCTCAAAAATCTTTCTATTTTCCTGATCTCCAGTCAGGTCGTTAACTGGTAGTGTTAACAACATGGGGGAAGGATGAGATATTTTTTAAAATATATAGTCCTGCAGTTGGAGCTCAGCAGACAGATCCCTGTGCTTGGGAGAGGTCCAGCAAGGGAGGTACAAGAGGCTGTTCTGCATGGATCTGATTGTAGAATTGGGGCCCTCAATTATTTCTTCCCTGAGAGTGTATCATTATGTTACAATCCATTGATCTTGTCGTTGCAAGACAAAAGCTGAGGGTTGGGAGGGGAAGTGGTATTCCTCTAGCTCCTATTTTAAGAAGGAAACCCAAGCTGTAGCTCAAGAACTTTAGGAAACAAACTCAGCTTTAGCTTTTTCCTTACTATCAGGAACTTTGAGTCATTGTCTGAACAAACAGGACAAGCAGGGTGCAACTAAAATGGCTTTGGTCCCATGCCATCCTCCATGTGCAAACTAGGAGCAACTTCTAGCAGGGACAGATTAGTCTCACCAAACATACTACCTACACTATGGGCCTTAAAGCTCTACCAACAGAACAAGGCAGCTGGAAGGAAGTGAATTTTTAAGGAGGAACCAAGCGCAAGGGTATGACAGGATGTCTGTGGGCAAACAGGGAACACATATCAAATGTTTGCTAAGAAACAGATACTAGCTTTGGGAAGTGACCAAACACCAGTGCAGAAAATAGCATTTCCAATCTCGTTTTACAGTATTCAATGATTAATTGGCCCCAAACATAGACATAAATTTCTAAAACACCTACAAGAGCTGTGTGCACTGAGGATGCACTGCTGTCAAGCAAGCCATCATCAAGACAAGGCTGTGCTCTGAGCCACAGGAAAGAAAGGAGGCATTGGAACCCCTGACACTTTGACCACATGTTTAACTTAACAGTTCTTGTAAAACAGCACTCTTAAAGCCAGCCCAAACATGGCAGTGCCTTTGCTACTGTAAGCCGTAGTGTTTTAGATCACCTCTGTACAATACTGAGAAGGCAAGAGAAGAAACTTTGAAGCTGACAGCCATCTTTTGGTTCAATGTAGACAAAATATTTTTGACTGAACTGTGGAGGGGCTTTAGAGCAGGGAAGGTATTGAGGCCACCCCTGCTTAGATGCTTAAGAGGGACGAGAAGACACTTACTTTTTCTCTAGACACTCCACATATTCCTTCTTTTTTCTGCGACTCTCTTGAGCAGAGATCTGGAAGATGAAGGAAAAAAAAATACATGAATCAGCACCAGGAGCCTGAAAACATCTCCCCATCCTCCCATTCTTGCTAGATAGGCAGTTTCATTTGTTCAAAAGTCAAGTGGGCAGTCATCTTCCAAAATGTCATTCCTCCCAGGCTCCTGGCCACAAAACAGGAAGGAAAAAAAAACAAGAAGGGGACACCTGGTATGAAGCCTCTTTTGCAATGTGCCTTAACCCTTTTTAAAGTGTCCCTTGTGGTCTCTCAGAAACCAGCTGAGTCATGCAGCTAGGTGATGGAGCTGTCTGGAAAATGCCTTGCCCTAGATCTCTTCTGCATCACAACCACTGACTAATCCATGCTGTGGGGGCTCGTCATCTCCCCCCGGGAATCCTGCTAACGTGGGAGTCTAAGCAAATCTCACAGCCTGTCTCTTGTCCTTATTGTGCATAGGATCACAGTCTCATAGGGAAAGGACCTGAAGGGCCAGCTAGGCCAACTTCATCTACCATTGGTTGCTCCCATGGCACCAGTCAAAAGCGGGCGTCCTTTGTGCTAAATGCTGTAGATGGAAATGTGTTTTATGAGCCCCAAAGAGCTTATAATTTGATTTGAAAAGAGATACAACAAGCAAGTGCAGCAAAATCTAGGGAGAGTAGGCAAAGGCAACAGGAATAACAGGGCCCTGAACTAACACCGAGACTAGCTATGGCATATGCTCAATGTAATGTTTAACTACATAGTTAAGATACAAGTGAATATGAACCTTGTTCTTGATTTTCCTCCTGACCCTCTTCAGTGCTTTCTCCTCTGCTTTGGTCAGGGGCAACTTGGTTGGGATGGGGTAGCCCTCAGCAATCAGGGTGCGTTTTTCCTCCTCAGTCAAGAGCAGGGGACCTGAAGTCCCTTGTAATTTCTGAAACACACAAGCAGAAGTTATCAGTGCATCCAGGGCATCAGCAAGGATCTGTGCACTTCATGGGTGTTCACTGCCACCACCAGAACCCTGCACCCCAGCTACCCTCCCAGACCCTTGCAGCCACTTGACTCCAGTGACCCAACTTCCTGTTGCCTCCCACTCAGCATAGCAAGACATCAGCTTCCCACAGGTGAGCCTGGCCACAAACTATAATTTTCATGTACTACCACATTTCCTAAAGTAAAAGGGCATACATATGCCTCCTGTGGGAATTCTCAGTTATTCCTTTACCAGGAACTCCCTTAAGTATTCTGGAGTGACCTTGATGTTCCCAAAAGCAAGAGAGCAACATAACACCAGCTAGAGCAAAACATTAATTTGCAGGTGACACGAAAGTCTTCATCTCTCAGTGATAGATCCCAGAGCTGAGCCACAAACCTTCTGTGCCACCTTGCTTATTTCTGACTTGCTGATTCACTTCAGTCCTGACTTGGAGCTCCCCTGTTTCATTCCTAAGCCTAAGCAGAAATGACTAACAGTAAAACTAACTTAACTACTTGACTTTCTGTGAAAGGGAGTTGAGTAGTTCCCTATGAGCCCAAAGAAGCATGGGGAGAAATTGTATCTTGGTGACATTCTGGTTCCTTACATGTGGTGCTGTGAGGAGAGGAGAGGAGGAGATTGCAGTAGAAGAACGAGCAGCTGGCCGGACTGGGCTGGAGGGAGGCAGGGACTGTGGACTCTGGGATCCATCACTGTCACTGCCATGGCTGCTGGGGGGAGTTGGAGGCATCTGCACCAAGTCATCTAGTGGGATATAAGGACAGCATGTGAGTTGCAAACATCAGTCTTCTGCAGATGGGTTTGGAGCAGCACCAGGGAAAGGCACTTTCACGAGAGAGGACTGAAGGAAGAAAGTAGTGCCTATAAGCGATTGGGGTATGGCCAAGGGCAATCTGGTTGAGGCTCAGTTCAGGAAAGACAGAGGTAATATTGGCAGCTTCCAAGAAACAACCAGCCCCAATACAAAAAGCCCATTCTTCCTTTTTGCACTTTAAGAGTCTATGGAAGCCAGGACAGCTCCTGGATGCCCAGGGAGTGCCTACAGCCAAATCACATTTTTTAACTGTTTCTGAGACAAAAGAGTGACTTTGCTAAGATTATCCATACTTCACAGTTTGGAGATTACACTACTGTGAAGGGGGCTTTCTATGGAGCTAGAGAAAAATGCAGCAGCCCCTTGGTAACCCTTTTAAAACTGAGAGACAGCATAACACAATCACTCCACAGTCTGTATTGGCTGCCAGTAGGTTTCCTGCTGGAATTCAAGGTGTTAGATTTTAACCTTTATGCTGGAAAGCCAGCTACTTTCAAGCATGTCCTCTGATTGTCCATTTTGAGACAGTCCAAGACAGCAATCATTTCAAATTTCAGTCCCAGAGGGTTTGGTTTATGGAAACTTCAGCAATATCTTTGACATAGGAGGGCTGAAGTTTTACTCAGCATAGACATCAGAGCTGACATCCCACTGATTTAAAAGAAAGGAAGCTGTTGGCTTTGAATTCCCTGTGAGAGGTTTGAGACTGGATTTAATATCACCTCAGCTTGTATTTGCTAACATTCTGGCTATAATGCAAGGCCCACTATTTTTTTTTCCATGGACACCTGGACATCTAAGGAAGAATCAGGTTGATGAGATGTGATCTGTCACTGCAAACAAAGAAGCACATTTTATTGGCATTCTTGTGGGTACCCCATTTGGTGGCTGTCAGGTGCAATGGTATAAATTAGCGTGAATTGCCCACACCTTAGAATAAATGCTAAATATTCTGAATATATCCATGCGTACACATATGCATTCACCCCTTCTCCTCCATGCTGAGCTGCCAGACTGTATTTCTGACGTCACTCACCTTCTGGAGCCAGTGGGCAGTTTTTCAAAGAGAAATTTAAAACAGGTAGCATCATAATTTAAATCCCTTCTAAATCATTTCCCTCACCCCAGTTTTTGTTACAAAAAGACTTGTGTGGTAGATTCCAAGGGAAGTTTCTTAGAAAGATCTTGGCAATACATAGGGCCCAAGGCATAAGAAGTGGCATTAAAAAAAACCTGCCTGAAAATGCATTTCATGCCAAATTAGGAAGGGTAGAATACAGAGAACTGCCAGGTGCTTTACTACTGTTAGGAAGTTTGCCAACATACTGAGGAGCTTTACAAGGTTCTCAGATACCACAATGACAGGCCTGATACAAGAAGAAAATAAAAAAACAAAATCTGTTCTGTGCAGCTGCAGTAGCTCAATGTACCTTCCACTGTGCATTTCGCATGCCAAAAGTGCTGCTGGAGAACTTTCCCTAAAGCTCCCCAGGCACTTGCACACTTGCCATGCTTGAAAATGTTTATAGTCCAGCATTAACAGTTAAAATTTAACACCTTGAATTCCAACAGGAAACCTACTAGCAGCCAGTGCAGACCGTGGAGCAATTGTGTTATACTGTCTCTCAGTTTTGCAAGGGTTATCAAGGGGCTGCTGCAAGCATGCCAACCAGCCATCAGGTGCTGGAGAACTACCTCAGCTCTGGATGAGGATGTGGACCCCCACTTCTGCAAGCCTCACTGTACTTGGAAGTGGTCACAGCTGTGTATCTGTAGGTAGAGTCCTTGTTCTTAATAGCACCTTAATTGTGTATTTGCATACTTTCAGCTGCTGGAGTTTTCAGACTGAAGTTTGAAATTCCTGACTTTGGAATGGTTGCTTCTGGATAAATCCAAGGTCCCTGTAAGGATTTTAAGTGCTTGGCATTTTCAGGTATATTTGCAACTGTGGCATTGTTTCTTCTTGTTGTGTGAACAATTCTGCATGGGACAGTTTGTACATGGAATAATTCTATCTGGGTGCCAATCACCTAGAACATCTGTGCAATCCTGCATTAAGATATGTGTGGCTCTATGCTGACCCACCTCAGCCAGCCCTGCTGTTATTCCATGTGTTAGGCACTGCACCTGGATGCTACTGTGTGTACTTATGTGCATGGCTAGGAGCAACCTATACCTGGGGAATACCTGATTAGAGTGAACATCAGCAAGTGGATTATATTGTCTTACCTGCAGGTACATTTAGAAACTGGTTCACCTCCTTGGGCTCAGCTTTGATCACAGGTGGTGGAATAATTTCTATAGGAGCCTATGAAAAAACAAAAATATACGGTTGCCTCAGCCTCTCTTCCACTTCCCTTCCTTACCATTCACAAATCACCGTCATGAGCACTGACTGCAGCCACACTTCCATAACCCTCTGCTCTGCCCTGTTCCACACCTGAGTCCTGGAAGCCATCTCCCCAGCTTTCTTGCAGAACTGATGGCAGGCATGTTGGCAGCCAAAAAAATTGTGCATAGTCCTGCCCTCTATCTCTGGGCAAAACAGAATGCAGAAAAGTGTATTCTGTGAGGGCAGGGAAGTAATGCACAGCCATGCTTCTCTAGCCCTTGCATAACCCCTCCAAAATAGAGGACTGTATTCTCCCGTGCCATTACTTTACCTTTCAACCCAGAAAGCATTATTTGAACTGCCCTCCTGAAGAAGAGGATAGCCTCTCTTTGATCTAAATTAATCAGAGCTGGGAGTATTTATGCAGGCTTTGTAGAAACAAAGTGAAACTTCTCCTGCTTAGGACTTTCTCCAGGGCCACTGAACAGCTGTTTCTGATCAAATGAGATTAAGAGTTAACACGAAGAGCACTTTGTTCCCAGCTCGGCTGAACTACCCCTCTGCTCCCAGCCTCCCTTCTCCCAAGCTACCACAGGCTAGAGAGTTTTTTTACACTGAACAGACGCACTGAAAACTACCCCAGACTCTACAAATAGCTGAGGAAGGGCTCTGGGTACTGCTGACAAGCACACAGAATGGATCTGCACGTGAAGGCACAGCAAGTTCAAGCTGTGTAAATAATGAAGGAATCGTGTGCACATTTTTGGCTCAAAAGGTTGATTAGTTTCATAGAATCATTTTAAAGGGAAGACGTTGACCACAAGCAGTGAACCCCACAGAAGCCTGACTGTATCTGATGGGCTGCAAGGCACATGGCAGCTCAACTAAATGAGAGACCAGACAAACCTAGGAGGGCCAAAGAGACCAGGATGGAATTGGGGAAAAACTGAGTGCCTCAGCTACACCCAGGATCTCATGGGTACAAGTGGTCTCAGGGTGCTGATAAGAAACAAAAATCTGAAAAATGTAGAAGTAAGCAAGAGGTTTGGTTCCTCAGTTCTTGAAAATTAATTTAATAATACTTAACCCTTAGTGCATGGGGTCCTCCTGAATCCTCCCAAACAAAAACAATCAGAACCATGAAGAAGGATCATTATCTACATTGCACAGCTTGGAAAAGCAAGAGGTGGTGTGTTAGACCAAGGCCCAGGCATACTAAACAGTGACAAGTCTATGCTAGAGATGGGACTGAACCCAGGAGTACCAGGCTCCTATTCAGTCCACTAGCAAATGCTGCCTTCCTTGAATGTATCTAATTCAAGGAACTCCATTTAAAAATTCCCTGGCATATTGGTATCCCCATCTGAGAAAAACAAACCAAGGAAGGCTCAAGAAATACCAGCAGATTAGAAGGAAAGGGCCTTCCAGAAACCTGCAATGCAAGTGAAGGACTAGATGACTCTGACTTAGACTCAAATTAGTGTCCCTGAGGCAAACACAGATGGTTAAGAGATCAAAGTCAACTGTACTGGAGACAGATAAATCTTACAGTGCTTCCACAGTCAGTCACATTGCACTTCAGATAGGAATGAAATCACTTTAACACTGAACCCAAGTCAGCTTTAATTGCTATTTCAAGTGGGCAAATTCCCTGTGCTGAAATATTTGGGTATCAAACTCGGCATTACTATCATCCTCCTGCCCAATCTTAATGACCTAAAACAGATCCTAAAGTCAAGCTGAAAATTGAAATCATCTGTGGCCACAATGCTGGAGATAAAGTCAGAAGTTGTATTTTGGACGTTTCAGTTGTCAGATGCACTTGCAGGCATGTACTGTGGGTAAATCAGGCTCACCTCCTCAGGAGCTGGTAGTCTCTGCAGCGGGTTGAGGTTCAGCACAGGCACCGAACTGGCTGCAAGCTGGGACTCAGAAAGTTCTGGGACCAGGTTCTGTTCCTGCTTTACCATGATGGAGCACAGCTTGTGTCCTAAGGACCACACTCCACTTTCCAGATCTGAAACAAGCACAACACACATCTCAAACCTCATGAAACTTCAGCAGTGACAGAACAAAGAAAGGGACCCCAAAAGCCTTTACCCTACCAGAGAAGGGTCCCCTTCCAGAGGGGAGAGGAGATGTGAATGTATGCCTTATGCAGTAAGCTCTTTTGTCAGCCGTACCACTTTGCAAGCACGCACATGCTCTCAAGGTTTAAGACAGCAGGGCATTAACACTGCCCTAGGATGATGCCAGTACACAAGCTCATCCCCTAGTCTGAGGCAGACAAGAGTTTGCCTTTGAAGTATGTATATCTCTAATTTCATCCACCCATAATGTCAAGTAAGATTCTCACAGAACTGCTTCTGTCTGGTGACAGACTGCATTTGGCTCCAGAGGTAAGATGACACTCACCATGTGGTACTGGCTCTTGGGAGCTTGTTGCAACAAATATATACTTCATTATGAAGAAGTTCAAGGTAGGTCCAAAAACAGAGCCCACCAGGTGATTAGCAAAGAAGGGGCTGGCTCCACCACACAAGCAGAAATTGCTTCTATACATTGTCCACATGACCAAGCTCCGGAAAGGCTGGGAGTTGCTTAAGTCTCTTGGGTGGCAAAAGCCAGCAGTACGTGGACACCCTAGCCTGAAGCTTTTCTTGGAGTGGCCCTTTCTTCTGGGAGTTTAAGATCAGCCTTTTGCTTCAGTGTATTTTACCTACATGCCTTCTGTTCAAAGTGGATTTGAATCCAGTGTCTGGCACTGTTTGTAGAGCAGGGAAAAGGAACCATTCAAATCCACCATGTGTGAAGACAGTATCTCAGGAACTGTGGGGCTCATGCCTCCAGCTTGTCACAGCGTGCAGGAGAGAATACAGCCCCTAACATGCAGTGAAGGCTTCTGAAATGCAGTCCAGAACCGTTGTTATCAGAGCAGTCATTCTTTGCTTTGGTCCCACAGGACTGCACAGAACAATGGGCAGAGAGGGACTTTGTCTCTCTTACTGGAACAAGGATGCCAAACTGGCCCACTTGGCTTCCTAGCTATTTCTGTTTCCATATTCATCAAAACAGAACAGCTGATGAGTATTCCTTAATGCACATACCCAGTGCCACAGGCATGGATGGCGCTCTGCTGGTAATAAAGAGTGATTTCCTGTCTGAGGCATCTAGCAAGGTGAGACAGTGTAATAGGATGGGGACGTATGTAGTGGATAGGCCCTGTGCTGCACTTTTCCACAAGGTTGAAGTTTCACCCATGGTGTTTTCATTTCCATGAATATCTCAAAACTGGGATCCTGATTGTGGCTACTTCCCTCAGGCTCTCCCCAAGTGCTATCTTCCTCCCCTCTCCCAGGCAGAAGCATGCTGTAGTTTTCAACATAGAGGGAATTAGAAAAGGAAGCACTTAGGAACACCTAATGGGTTTGTCTGTGCACTGCCCTCCATGCATGGGGCTAGGGTGAGGACAGTTAAGGGAATACAAGATCCTAGGAGCTGGGACTAAATTGAGAAGAGATAATGATCAACTTGGATCAAGTGAAGAAGCAAAGCCGTTAGAACTGAGAGCTGCTTGGACTCCACTCTGAAGTTGTGGTCTCAACTTTCCTGCTTCTCAGGCACCACAGCCTGCCAAGAAGCTACTCTGTACTTGGCCTGGGTCCAATATCCTCCTCCCTAATCCCCTTTCCTTCCCTTCCTCTGCTATCTGAACATGAGAAATTCATTGGCACTGCCATACAAATTACTCTAAGTGTCATCAGTTAGTGTCCTAGTTGGCTCTAAGCATGAAGCCAGATCCTGGCCTGCTGCCCTAACCCTAGATGCTCTCTGGCAGCAAACAGGACCTGCAAAGGAGATACAACACCTCAGGGGACTGCTCCTCTAGCACAGGACCAGAGTATGCAGCCCTTAACCTCCCCTTCTTGAATCCCCCTGGCTTGGGGCATGCCAGGGGCAGAAATGGAGTAGGAGAATCCTCTACATAGAAATAAGAAGTTTGCCACAAGTCAGAACATAAGTCACTTATGCTGGGGACTGCAGCAGCACCCAACAGTCAGAATGAAGGTGTTGCAAAGGTGGCTTACAGTCTCCTTTATCCAAACACCTCTTAGGCTACACCTTCTGCACTGTTCCACCTGAGAGGTACAGACTAGCTTGTGGTTTGTGCCCATGCACAATGGAGTTAGACTCTGGTCCTAATTATAGCAGCTGTCTGTGCCAGTGGCCTATGCTATTTTCCTGTAACTGGTTTGGCCTACTCTTAGTATGCTGCATAGCCAGGACTCCTTCACTGTGCCCGTGTAACCAATTTTGGCTAGTCCACCTTCCTTTTTGGCTTTCACTGCCTCTGGGCTGCTTTAAAGGTGTATCCTGTGCGCTTGGTCCTCTGCTGACGAACTCTGAGGATAGCTGCTTAGAATTTCCCAGAATCCACCAATGCAGACATGATTAAACAGCTTTGTAGGTATGCATGTACACCAGGGGTGGGCAAACTACAGCCCATGGGCCAGACATGGCCTGCCAGGCCATTCTATCTGGCCTGCGGGACCCCTAAAAACTTTAAAAAATTAATATTTATCTGCCCCTGGCTGCCTGTCATGCAGCCCTCAATGGCTTGCCAAAACTCAGTAAGTGGCCCTCCACCAGAAATAATTGCCTGCCCCACTTAATGTACACCCACATATATGTGTTGGCAGGAAAGCTGCTGTGTGTTAAGGAGACCAAGTCACAGCTTGAACTGTAAATGTAGATGGGTCCTTTATTTTGAATGGTGGGGGAAGGAGGGGACATACTTAGCCAGAAATTTCAGTGTCCAACAAATTCGGACAAACCTTGCCTTTCTCCTGATCACATCCTGCTGTGTGACCATGCTACTGGCAAGCTTTAAATTTCCTTTCTATATGAGGAGCAGAAACCCCTCTGCCTGGGAGTGGTCTGCTGGACTTTTTACCAATGTAAGGCAAGGAGAGCAAGCAAGGGGTTCTCTTTGTCTAGACACATTAGGCCCTAGCTCTCCATACAACCCAGGCAGCAGACACCCAACCAAGCACAAACTGTCCTTCATTCCCCCCACACCCATGCACATTCTGACCCTCTCTTTTTCCCACCCTCCAAGATATAGTAGGAGAGAGATCGAGTTATAGACTTAGAGATAAACAGGCCTACAGGGATCATTAAAAGGGAATGATCAGAAGGCATTTTCCATGGATGCATCTATATTCCACATCCTCGGAGGACACGTCAGATACATAGACAATCTATAAACACTGCAGATAGGACTGCATCCTGCTCTGTGCAAGATGCCAGGAGATGGCCTCAACAGTCTTTTCCAGATATTTTGTTCATACTCAAATATTTGGAATGCATGTGCAGTAAAAAAAACAGATCAACACACACAGATACCAGAAATCCATTGCTGCTCTGGAGGTGGGGAGGGGAGTGAAGGGAAATTAGGGAGAAGGAGGAGATATTAAGTGTACTGTCTTCTTTTCTCTTTATTCTTTGTCCTCCAGAACCGCAGATTCTGGCAGGAAACTATCTGCACAGCCCACTCTGCATAACAACAGTGGACCCACTAGTTTCTATCCAGGCCTACACCCTTTTCTCCGGAAACCTACAGCCTACCACTGTTATGGAATCGTGCCTGTATACACTGGTCTGCAGAACTGAAGTCTGGGACTTAGAACGGGAGGTCCCTGTCTATATCAACAAACCATTAGCCATGTGAAAAGCAAAAGCATGACACAACCTTCTGTTCCTGAGACTGAAAAGCAATCTGGACCACCCAACCTAACACAGTAGGAGGGTGGTAATTTTGGAAGGGGCAGGATTCCGAAGTTTTAAATGACAGCAGAGAAGCTAAGAGAAAGGGGGTGTGCAACATGCCTCGGTCAGCTCTACCATGAGGACAGTTGAATAGCGCTGCAAGCAGAGAAGGCATGGTTAACCCTGACTGATATTAAAGTAATTCATGGGCACTACCTTTTAAGCCCTGGACTGTTAAATACAATGTAGAGTGATAGGTCTGAAGGGACAGGGCCAAGGACAAGTGCATGTGAAAACTGTGCACTCCAAACATTGTCAGAATAGATGCAATTTATAACTGAACTAATCCCAGGCTGGTATACCACTTAAGTCCCACTTCAGCTCAACTGGTATGAGTGGGACTCATATGCTGCAAATTATGGTAGCACTCCGCACTATGGAGAAACTCTCCCTTAGAAAAGACTCAATCCTGTCCAAGAGAACTTGCAATCTAAGCAGAGAGATGCCAAGATCTGGGAAAAGGTGGCAGTGGTTAAGGTGATGTGTATAGCAGAAACCAGTCCCTGTGTTAGCAACTTGTCTGTTTAGATTTGTATTTTGCTGCTCCCCACATCTCTATCCTGTTTGTCTGTAACCCCATTATCGCAGTCTTTCTCCTCTGTCTCATTTTATTTACTTACTCATGTGTGCACATATAAAGTACAAGTGTGTTATCCATATGCTCACACCTTCTGGGCTTTTGCTAGTTGCTCAAAAATACCTGCTCCTGATGAGTACTCCTGTGTGCTAGTGTTAAAGTCCAGGCAGTAACAGTTAATATTTGACTGTAAAACATTTTACAGTTAAGGAATAGCATTTGGGCCTGACATGTGGACCCTCCAGTGCATTGAGTTACTTGTACTGAATTCAAAGCTGTTGACTGTGCAGTTTACAAGGAGCAGAGGCAGCAAATAGCAGTTTCTCTCCTCCTCTCTTAGTGTTTATATTACAGAGGAGGGACAATTTCTGGTCACACTGGGGAAACCTCTATCCCAGGCCTCACTCTTGGTAAAAGGAACATCTTTCTTCTTCTGTATATACTGAATCTGTGCCATAGTTTTTTCAGGCAGTCTGATGTCCATCAGCTGCTAGGACACCCACACCGTGCCACAAATTACAGGACTCTCTGCTAGGATTGCTCTAAAAATATCCAACCATCATAAATTATCTTGAAATGAATTGTTTTAAAAATAGGCTTTGAAATGACTGTTCCTCTGTCTCCTGCTAAGCCATCTGCTGGTAAGGAAGCCATTTAGCTTTCCACATGCACCAACTCTGGCAGCAGGCAGGGACTCATGCTCCCTATACCCAGGCCAAGCCTCTCTACCAACTGCCAAACATGGACCTAAATCTAGTGCATCCACACCCAATCTAGCAAGGTCCTATGGCACTGTTGCCAGTAGTTTACCAGGACCACACAAAGCACTATGCCACAGAGAATAATCAGCAGTGTGAGTAATGTTAAATGCTGAAAATGAGCAATTATTATGTTAGAACAGAAAATGAGAAGAAGAAAAAGGCCATGTTCATAGTGATGGATCAGATTTATCCAGAGAGCAGGTGCTGTGATGTCAAAGGAGCAGGCAGCATCCTTATGCATGGGAACCCACTCTGGGCTGGGCAGGCAGTGCCTCTGTGCAGTAGAGCACATGCCATGGAAGCAGACAATGTCTCTCCTAGCAAACATCAGCTCTTATACCATAGCTGGGTCATAGCATATATGTTTCTGGAACACTGTGATGTGCATATGGGTCTCCCAAGCTCACCATTAGCATTATCTTCAGTCTTGACAGGCATGAGGGGACTTTGGGGGGCAGAGTCTCCACTGAGTGAGTAGCTGTGCTCTGCCTGGATGCCAGGAGTGGGAGGGTCCAGGTCCATGTCCAGCAGAGGATTCTTTTCAACCAGCATTGGATCATCAAAGAAACTGCTGAAGAGTTCATTGGAAAAATCCTCCATGTTCTCAGAGAAGTGATCCAGGTTCTCAGAGAAATGCTGAGAAGGAACCAAAGGAAAGGGAATGTTATTGTGCACTCCAGTAGGAACTAAAGAGCTGTCTACTGAGCTGAGATCCATAATGCAATAACAACATTGAGTGATAAATAATAATTTCTGGCTTGTATCATTTGTTATAGCTAAATAAATATTGCCTTTTCATTTACAAGGAAAGAACCCAAATGCTCACTAACATATCTGACTTGTTATCTTCCCCATACCTACTCATCTAATCACTTAAAATATACTCATCTCTTTCTAATCCATTTATACTAATCTATCAATCTGAATCAGGTTTTAAATCACACTCTTACAATGATATCTAGTAGAACAAAAGAGATCAAGGAAAACCTGAGTGATAATAAAATACAAGTGCAGCTGAAAGTGATGTGCTTCAGAGCCTGTACTTACTGGCATAAATTTTCCCGTGTGCGCTGCAAGTAGCAGATAGGCACTCTGATACCCCAATGGATAGCAAAACCAACCACTGATTTCTATCAGAGAAAAATGGGCTTGATCAACATAACAGGAAGCCCCCTCCTGCTGTATTTAATTTCCTTTAGGATTTGCCAGCCCCTCTGTGTGCCATGTGAGAATGTCCCCAGGCCAGATAATGCCTATGAAATTCTGCTCCCTCTATGAAGTTTAAACACCACCCGTGGCCTGTTAACAACAAACACTAATCGTTTCAGTAGCAGCCAATAAATCTGAAAGCTGCTGCTGCGCCTGAATTCCCGATCCCCTTGAGAACCTGTTTCTCCTGAGACAGATCCTCCTATTTAGAAGTCAAATCACTAACTTTTCCACTTGATACAATAAAGTGCTGGTTGGCAAAGGAGAAAAATGCTGGTAACCAGCTGAAATGTTATCCCAATTGTTAGCAGACTGAGGTTTCTGGCACAGGGAGAGGAAAGAAAAGACAGATATATTCAAGAGACTACATTACATAGATGATCTTAAAAGGGCTGACTGAAGTCAGGAGAAAGCAAGAGAATTCAGGAGTAGCTGGGGAGGGGAGAAGCAGTGTGAGTGTGTGTGTCTGTGTATCTGACAAAGAGAGAGAGAGAGAAAGAGAGAACCCGAACGCTGGAGTGAGGACATAAATTACAGACTTATGAGCACCATGTGGAGGTGGCCAAAACTCTGCAGCTCTAGAGGGGGCCGTGTACCAGAAAGAGCCTGGGAGAGTACAGATTTCTATTCAAAGTTCATTCCTTTTCCGACAGCAAGGCTGAGGGAGGAGTTGACCAGGGGACCCCGGATACCAGAGCCTGCTAGTTCCTGTTCCAATAAGAAGGTGTGTTTGTTTTACTTTAGCACATTGTCATTCTGTAAATAGAGGACTGGCAATGAGAAAGTCAGGGAGGGGTTGGGAGAGCAGCCCGCTGTGGCTGGACAACCTCAGAGACAGGTAGTTAGCTGTGTTAGTCTGAAGTCAAGCAGAAGGCAGGGTAGATTTGCTCCTTATAGACAAGGGGTGTCAAAGTGGATGAGTGACATGGGGCCAGTCCATGGGCCCCTCCTCCAGTCACTTGATCCTGCAGCTGTTCCAGCTGGTTTGGCACCTGTAGTGAAGGGGGAGGGCATAAGTGAAGGGGTCTGTGGGCTAGATCTGGCCTGCAGACTGGTCTCACACCACAGGCGTGTGCTGTGCCCCACATAGGTCTGATCAGATCCAGGGGCAGCATTGGGGCATGGATGGTGGGGCTCTGCAGGCCAGATCTGGCCCACAGGTTGTATATTTGACATCCCTATACTAACGACACCCCTGTTATAAACTAATCAAAGTGTCTGTGTATTCCTTTCTTTTCACATCCTTGTGCCAAGGTATTTAGCAGAATTTGTAGATCTGTCAGAATCTGACAGGGCCACAAAGTAAGCACTTCTGCTATGGTTTCAAACTTGCAATCTCTGGGCTGTCAACTGCACCTTAGCGTATGCATCACCCCAGCCTTGCATGTGTACATGCATATACATATATTAATGTATGTGTGTGTACATCTATATATATAGAGGGGGGGGGATGAGAGAGAGAGAAAGAGAAAGCACAAACCTTCCTGAGCAGAAACACACTTCATCAGAGGCTCTGAAAGGATGTGAAGAAAGCAGAAAGCTTCAGCTCATGGAAGTGTATGATATATGGATATATAAGTGTGTGTGTATACATATATACGCTTTGGTTAGTTGATAAAGTGCAAATTTGTCAGGGATGCTGATCAGGCAGGCCCAGCCTGAGCCAAGTACTGCAGCAGCCACATCTGGATTAAGCCTCAGCTAATGACTTCTGCCCCTGTTTAGCAGCAGCAAACCTCCTGACTGGCTGCTGGGAGCACCACCTATCCATTTAGCACCAGCTGGGGCCATGGGTCTGCTGTGGCAAGCCTCCTGGATCCTTTAGCTCCTGACCCTGTTTTTTGGCTTATTTCTAGACTTGGACTTCGGATTTCCCTGAGATTCTGTTTCCTGGCTCCTGACCCTGGTTTGGCTCTATTTTCAGATTTTACCCTGTGGATTGCCTCTTGGATTGGTACTCAGCATCTGACCCCTGGATCCTGACCCTGGATTGTGTTGTGGACTCTTCTTCTCGATTTCCTTCTGGCTTTGGTATATGGTTCCTGCCCTTTGACCCAGTCCCAGACCCTCAGTGGCCTAATCATTAGACCAGACCGGCTACACCCCAGTCCCTTATAGCTTGACTGACATCCTTACAGACACAGCTAGGAGCACTCCTGCAGCAGGATGCTACCTTGCAAGGCTGTTCTCTCCTGACACATCATGAACCCAAGATGCCTCTCCCTGGTAAGAGCAACAGACCACCAGGGAAGTTTCAGGGCTTCACTAATCCATACAGGCTCTTGTTTGTCACAGCCCCAAACTTATCCCACTGAGTAGGCCCAAACTAGACTCTTAATTAGCCTCCTAACCAGAAAGACCCTGCTGTAGGCATCTCCCCTACTGCAGATCTCTAGCCCTCTCCTTGATAACCATGAGGACTCTGTGAAGGCCATGAAGATCCCTTTTGGTAACCCTTACTTGAGGTGCTCAGTGAAAATGGCTCTTCAGACCCTTACCCAGGGGCTGCAATCGTTGTCCACCCATACAGCTGAGTTCTGGCGTTTGGTGGCAAAGACCCAGTAGAATGAAGCAGCACAGTGGTACCAGTTCTGTCAGGGGCTGATTGAGGAGGTTAAAGGTGAGCTTGCATGAATCAAGTTGCCTCAGGATCTAGGGACCCTTGTTGATATATGCATTGGCATTGACCTCCAGCTAATTGAGCAGTGTCTGGAAAAGAGCCATTCCTCTCAGAAATGCCAGATCTTCACCTCCCCTCAGTCAGCAGCTGCAGGATATCACTGTCAAACCAAACCTGCACCAGTGGCAGAGGAGCAGCCAGAACCCATGCAAGTGGACACAACAAGGACCCACGCGTCGTTGGGGGAAAAAGAGCAATGGTGAACAAAGGGCCAATGTTTATACTGGGGGGAGGAGTCAGTCGCTGGGTAAATCAGTGTTCAGATCAGCACAGGGTACCTGCCTCAACCTCAGCATTCTCTTCTATGCCCCCCCGGGAGGCTACAGCCCTCCCCACTCCAGTTTCCCCTCCAGCTTTCCCACCCAACTATGAAAACCAATGGTGGACCCAGGAGCCTCCAGTAATTTTATGGATGCAGACTCTGCAAAAGCCCATCAAATCCCAGTTCAGTGGTCCCAGTGCTGGGATCCACCTGACCTGGTGGAATCAAGTGAAGGGCCTCTTCTGTCACTGGGACCAGTCTCCCATGAGGTTGCTCTGCTTATTGCAACCATATAGAGACATCAGGAGAAGTTCCAGTTTGGGCTTATCAGATCCTCTCATTACCCAGTTATCCTGGGCACCCCTTGGCTCGTGTTGCATGACTGCATGGTGCACTGGCAAGCCAGAGAAATTTCCTTTAACTCTCCTTACTATGGGTAGAATTGCTTGCCCTCAGGGGAGCTGCACTCTTTTCCTGACAACCCTGAGCCTCCAGGGTTCCCTGATTCTCCACCTGAATGTGCCCAACCCTCTAAAGTGGGGGAAGCCAGTGCAGTGCCTGGCTACAGTGGTAATTCCAGAAAAGTATCAAGACCTGGCAGATGTTTTTGATGAAAAGAAGGCAGACATCCTCCCGCCTCATAGACCCTGCAGTTGCCCCACTGATCCGAAACCAGGGGCTGAAGTTCCTTCGGGCTCCATTTATACTTTCTCAGAGCCAGAGCTACACATGTTCTGGGAGTACATTCAGGAGAGCTTAAACAAAGGGCTTCTCTGCCCCTTAAAATCCCCAGCAGGAGCCCCAATCTTTTTTGTCCTTAAGAAGGATGGGTCCCACAGCCCCTGTGTTGATTATAGAGCTCTAAATGGGATAACTATCTGCAGCTGCTATCCACTGCCTGTGATGAATAAGCTTTTTGAGCAGCTCTGACAGACCCAGCTTTTTTTCCAAATTAGACTTCTGTGGGGCTTATGATCTTGTCTGTATATAGGAAGGGAATGAATGGTTAAAGGGCTTTCCAGACTTGGAATGGGCATTTTGAATATCTGGTCATGCCCTTTGGCTCTGTAATGCCCGTGCTGCATTTCAGCATTTTGTCAATGACATTTTTAGGGACATACTGGAATAGTTTGTTATAATACACCTGGATGGCATTCTGATCTTCTCCAATGACCCAATACATCATACACAACATATGCATTGAGTTTTACAGAGGCCCTAAGAGAGTCAGTTCTATGTCAACTTAGAAAAGTACAAGTTTGATAAAACAACAGTTGAAGTTTTAGAATACATTATCTCCTCCAGAGGCCTGACCATGGACCCCTGCAAAGTATCTGCAATCTCTGACTGGGCTGCCCCACAAGATGTGGAGTCCAATGGTTCCTGGGATGCACTATTTTTTATAAGCATTTTATAAAGTGGTTCTCCCACTTGACAGCCTCACTCACCAGTCTCCTCAAGAAGGAGATGCTATTTAATTGGTCACAGGAAGATAAGGAAGTTTTTGAAACACTCAAGAAGGCATTCACCTCTGCACCCATCCTAGTGCATCCTGACCTTGCAAAACCATTTATGGTTGAAGCAGATTCTTCCAGTTGTGTCATAGGGGCTATTCTATCCCAGGACCCAGACACTCCAAAGTGACAACATTCCTGTGCATTCTACTCTTGGACCCTAACACCCTTGAAGAGGAACTACAACATCTGGGATCAAGAGGTGCTTGCCATTAAGGCAGCTTTGGAAGAGTGTTGATATCTCCTAAAGGAGCCCTCCACCCCATCCAGGTAATAACAGACAACAAAAATCCGGAATACCTCCAGATCACTTGGAAGCTGAATGGCCCCCAAGTCCACTG